AACTTACGTTCTGTTTATTTGTAAACATAAATATATCCCATTGAAAGTTAAGCATTTAGAAATAATTTTATGTGTAGTTTTGAACTTGATGTTAAAGTTGGTGAATTTAATATGACAAACATTTCGGTTGACTAAAGAAAATATTGAAAATTGAAGCAAATTAAATCTTATTCGACAATATTTACTTTTATGCTAGAAAAAATAATCATTGCGAAATGTAGTTATTAATATATATTTTCTCTATTATTATTTTCTGTTATTACTTTAACAGTTTAAACTGTTTTAAATGATATAATAATAATAAATATTGGACGGAAATCTAAAATAATGTATTCATTAATTCATTTACAGCAATAAGTAATCATCTGATGCCGTTTCAGTATTTCAATTTTATCTGATTTTTCCAGACAATAATACATGTGCAGGAGTCGTAGATTCGCAGAAGTTGTTTTGGCCGACTACGGATAACTTTTTTTTTTGTCTTTCCGTCTCACTTTCATTTCGTTAAATCAAGGATTTTAGAGAAGTTTGAGTTGCCACGGCTTGTTTTCTACTTTTCGTCTATCTTTCACCGCAACGAATTCCAAGTGTAGGTGGACGAGGCCAGTTCGAATGGACGAGCACTCGACGAGCCGAGAATTCAGGAATAGAAAAGTCTCTCATATTCAAATGTAGATATCGTGTACACTTTAGGAATTCTACCCAATAAATTCTTTCGCATTATGTTGTGTTATCGTTAATTTATATGTTTACAGCTCTCATAATATTTTCTTCTAATTACAAAACAGTCTCCATTCATTATTCGATTTATTCAATTGATAGTAAGAGGCATATTCAAATTAATGAATGTTGACACATTAATCAATTATATGTGTGATGCAGTAAAAGCAATTTAAAATGAATTTCATTTTTTTTTTTAATTTTATTGAACGTACAGCGCATTAATTGCGTAGACATTTATGATAATGATGTTTATCAAATATCAACATTCAAATAAGCTTTTCATGTTTATATTAAATATTCATGTTATGATTAACTGTTATAAATTTGATGAAATTTATCTAAGATTTGCAGTTGAATATTTTTATTTCATTTTACACATTTTTAAATATATTAAACGGCAGTAAATAAAACGATATTTTAATGATTAAAAAAATTTAAAAATATTAAATTTTTTTATTTATTGCTCAATTTATTTTATTTTATTCACATACATGTATTATAAACAGAGAGTATAAAGTAAGTAGTGGAAGCTGCATTCAACATATACAGACTAAAATTAATAAAGCGCGCGAGAGAGAGTAAACGATTAAGTAAGAAATAGTATTGAAGTTAATGAAGGTCAAGCAAATCATAGTCTCGAAGATCACAGAACATGAGCAAATTTCTATGCCTTGGATCATGAAAATTAATGTATTAGTTAGAAATTGTTTATTTACATTTTAATTTAATATTCAATAATGGTTGGATGTAACTGAATAATAAAGTGATTAATAATATGGAGAACAAAATATCATCCTGGATAATGAATGCAGATAAGGTAAAATACGCTTAATAAAATTGATCAATTATTTATTGAACATAAAGTTCTTTTAGCAATTATTGTCAATCGATTATATAAACTTTACAAATTATATAAATTATTTCTTTATGAATTTGCTGATGGTTTGGGAAACAATTTTATTATCAACATTGTAAGAATAATTGAAATTCATAAAAAAAAAATATTAATTTAGTTTAATTTCTAAAAATTAACGAACTGAAAAATGAGGTATTAATGTAAATAAAATTTATAAAAAGTTTTTTTTTTTAAAATGTGAAAAATCTGATTAACGTATTTCATACATTAATATAGGCATCTATAATTTTCGTACATTCAATAAAGTTATATATTATATTTTTAAATTATATAAAATAATTTGTTTATATAGAATATATTATTAGAAATTACATTAAAATTCATGAATGTCTTGTTGAAATAAATAACTAAATTATTAAACTATAAATTGTAAATTCAAGAACTAAATATAACGTCTAAGCACCGTATAATACAGATTATATATAAAATAAATTGATAATTATTAAATTTAGATAAGATAAAGTTAAACAATAAGTTTGATTCATAAAATATTTTACAGAATGAAAATATAACTGATAAAAAGTTTTTTAACGGCCATCTTATTAATTTCGTACATGTGTGACAAGTGTATGAACATTTATAATCCATAAAATTTCTTTTATAAAAATTATTTTTAAATATATTTTCATATTGCATAGTTGAATTGAACAAAATTTTTATATATATCGTTTTTCTCTGTACACGTAATTTTAGTTATAAGCTTATATAAGCCATTAAAAACTGTAATTTATACACGCATAGTATTCATAGAAATTTATATATTAATCAAAATTGTATTTAATATATATATATATATATATTAAATATAATGATTAATGAAATAAAGATATTGTAATTGTATTTATGTTAGATCAGAATATATATTACGTAAATCAGGAAATTAAAAAGCTGTTAATATATATAAGGATATAATTCGAATATTTATTAATATATATAATATAAAATGTAGTCATAAAAACTTTGTTTTATGAATTGAAAATAAATTTTATTTTTGACAAAAGATAAGTTATAATGCTTACTTTTACAATGAATAAATTAAACTTATTATTCTATGCAAATTGTTTGAATATTTTGATAAAAAGGGTTCAAATATTTAAAAATATTTGATTTATTGATTGCGTACTTTATGCTATGTAGAACAACTTTCTCAATTTTTTTTCAATATACAATGAATAATGTTTTTATTAAGACGAACAATTTGTCTTTATAAATATTAGCGCTTGTTTAGTATAGATTTGATACAAATTATGACATTTTTTATTATGAAAATGTTTTTCCTATGTCGATAAATAATCTAAAATGAATTTAGTTTCAACTCCCTATTAAAATATAAAAATATTACGAAATAAAAAAACTATTTTTTTTCATTCGATTTTCCGGTTCGTTTAATGTTTCTTTACTACATAGCTTAAGAGAAAATTATATACTTTTATATCAAATGATACGAATTCTATATTCTGTTTTCATGATTATATTCTTTTTCACCTTTCACAGCGCTTATGAAAGAAACTATAGGTAAATGAAAGAATATTTTATTATATTCGTTCATTTCTTTCGCCTTTTCTTTATCTTCTATTTTTATCTCTTTTCAACATACGTCGAAAAATATAACAATAGAAAGATCGGTGGTGAAACAGTCACTGAATAGAAAGAGGGAGAGAGCACGTATACATATCTAGCATTCTTGTTCTTTCATTATAGTTCTCAAAGCATGCTCCATCTCTCCTACTCATTATTTTTGACTCTCTTTCTCTCTTTCTCTCCCCTCCCTGCCTCTCACAAACACACTTGCTCTCTTACTCTCTCATTCTCTCTCCCTTAGTCTCGCACGCGCGCACGTTTTTTTTTCTTCCTTTAGTCTAGAGAATTTCAGCGTAGAGGTGGGTACGTAAGAGAAGTGGAAACGGCTGGAGGGAGAGAGGTCGAAACTAGCTTTGGGTGGGGTAGCAAAATGAAGGTAGGATGGCGCGGGTAGGAAGAGAGATAAAGAGACACTGTATACACTAACTTGGGGATTCGTTCGTTTATAGCAGCTGAGAAGAGCCGCGCGCGCACTATTGGGGTAGGTCATACTGATTACGGAAGTTTGTGCATGAGAGAGAGAGAGAGAGAGAGAGAGAGAGAGAGAGAGAGAGAGAGAGGGAGAGACATCGCCATGAAGAGTTCGAGCATCCAGTACTCACGAATCATCTCCATTTCTTTTGATTTTTAACAATTTTCTCTCTTTTCAGTGGGCGTGAAATTACCACGTCCACTATATGCCATGTAACGGTATAATGCACAAGAGATAGGATATGCATAAAGTGAAACGAATAGATAGTAATTTTAGAGACGGAAGAGGAGCGATAAATCTAAATTAAATGGAAAGTAAAGTGGAGAGAAAAGTTTTTGAAGAGTCAGGCGTTTGGAATTGCTAAACTCCAAGTCTCGTAAATGTGACTGATAGCTAATAACGCGCAGGAGCTTCGAGCTCGGTACCATCTAACCCTACTGTCGATGTCCTATTCCGCTCTCGGCGAGGAAACGTGGACTCGCCTGGTGAGCGCGTATTCCTACGAGGTTGCCTACACACGGATACGCGCCGGATAAATAGACTTGACAGGGTGGTAGCGGTGTTAGCGACTGGTGGTGGTAGTCGTGATAGCGGCGGCGGTGGTGGTGGTGGCAGGGGTTGTAGTTGTACCAACTAGAAAGTCAAGTGGAAAGAAGCGAATGCGCGAACACGGCGACACGTCGGCCAGTTCCTTTTGTCGAATGCTTTTCCTAGGTCGCGGAGGGTAATAGAGCCAACGGCAGCTAAGACATCTCCACATCGTGGCGCGGATAATCGTTTGCTATCGATTGTCGCTCACCACCTGGTCGCTGCTGGGTGGTGAACGTCATTGTGTCGTGCAAGAGCTGCAGCGCCAGTCGAAATCGGCGCAGTAGTAGCGGGCAGTCGTGGTCGGACCGTCAAGCGCCGGACGACCGTTACTACTGACGCTGCACGATCGTACATACCCGAAGAAAGCGGCGGTGTCATCGATGTAGTAGGCGCAGTGATCGCGAATTGCGGTGCGCGTACATTCACCAACGCGCGCCCACACAAGCATGTGAATCCGTGGAAAGTCTCGAGTGAGCGCGCATGTCTGCGTGCGCGTTCTTGTGTGTCTGGCACGCTCTTTCTCTCTTGCTCTCTCGCGCTCTTTATTTCTCTTTTACCAGTGCCTCACCGACCGTCGGAGGACTAGCACGCGCGCTTTGCTCCTCGACGATTACAACAAAGACACAGTGATAGATGTGCGCCTCTCATTCGAACATCGCATAACGTACAATTATAGGTGCTGGTAGTGATATAAAGCGAGTTATCCGCAGCCTTTAATTTATTTTTCAACGTTCTCTTTCTTTGTATCGGCCGTACAGAAGATCACGTTGCTTTAAGGCTGAGTAATAATATAACACAAGATTCGGAAAGAGATGCCGGAACTAAAGGTACAACGTTCATCGAAGACGAACAAGACCAAAACGAGAACAACGACGTGCCTGGGGCTCTTCATGCCATCATTCTTACCGTTATTATTATTGCCGTCATTGTCGTAGCCCGTATCATCCATAGGAAGAAAATCGAATTAAAAAATCATCAAATTTAATATTAATTTATTATGTACGCTAGCAATTCCGTATAGCTAAAAACACAAAATACATCGTTATAATAATTATTATTGTTAGAGCTGTTGTTATTAATATTATTATTATTATTATTATTATTATTACAATTATTATTCACATCTTTAATTCATTGATAATTAAAGCGAGAATAATTTTTCATGTACATTTTCCATACATAGACACATATATGCATTTGTAAATGTAGATTTATATATAAACCCGCATTATTTATTGAAAAAGTTGTTGTATTTAGTATCGTCGAGAAGCAAGTTCTATAAATATACATAAACTTGCACGCGTACACAAGCACACACATACATACATTCGCATACCAGTGTATGTATATATATAAATATATATATATATATATATATATATATATATGCTGTATAGTGTATACTGTAACTAAATACAAAAACAAAGTTTCCAAGGCCTATACGGTGATAAATACGGTGGTAAATATAAGTCAGAAATTTATAACGTCAATGACAACTTAACCAAATAGTGAAAAAATAAATCCAATATCATTTCATCAAGCATTTAACGAAGAAATAAGTTTACACACTCGCGCGTTCACGTATACACACATACACATACACACACACACACACACACGCACACACACAGACAGACAGACATATAATCGTATAAGTAGAAAGTAAAAAATTGTTCAGTTATAAAGTTGAGAAAAGGCAGAGAAGACAAATATTTTTTATCTACACATGAAATATCATAATGAAGAATGAAGAAAAGTAAACTAAGAATGAAAATAACTGAAATAAGTGAAAGAGAATAGTCACGTGTTCTTATTAGAAAACTATCAAAAAGTATTTTACGCGTATATGTGGAAATTAAAATCTTAAGAAATTATATTAGTAAGAAGTGCAGTTAACCATCATATGAAATAACTTTAATTATATTTACACATACGTATATACATACATACATAAATACATATATATATATATATGTGTGTATATATATATGTATATATATATGTGTATATATATATATATATATATATATATATATATATATATATATATATACACGTATACGTATATATATAAGTGAATTAAATGTGTGTGTGCATTGCATTTTGGCTATTCTTACTTTCAGATGTTTGTAATTGATTATTTTTTATTTCATAGATCTTTGATACCTACGTATTGTCACAGATAAAAATATATTCCTGTTTTGAACAAATTTTTTGCAAGCAGATTGCCCGTTAGTTAGTGTTGAAGTGTTTTCGCAAGTTGTTAATATCCATCGCCTTTACCGCATTAGATAAAAGCTTAGTAAAAAATAAAAACAAAAAACAAAAAAAAACGTTGAAGAAGACGATAATTTTAGATGCTCGTGTACGTTGTTATAATATTATTCCAGTTAAATAAAAAAGTAAAAAAATAAAAATAAAGTCTGCGTTATATTCTTTCTACATTATACAAAAAATAAATAAACAAGAAGACTGCATCTCCGAAGGTGAAGTTTCAAAAGAGTCAAACAAAGTGTATTTTAAAATAATATAATAATTAGATGCATTACTCTATCCAATAACGAAAGAGGAATTAATAATCGCAAAATTTACATAAGCAACGATTAACCATCGATAAGAGTTTCGACTTTTCGGCTGCTACGTACTGTACATCGAAATATTTGGTAATTAAAAATCGTCGATTTAGGATAATAAGTTTTAGATTCCGAAAAAATAAAGTATAGAGAGATAGAGAAAAGCATTAATATTAGAAAATCAAACGCAGAAGTAAGAAGCATCGATGGATTGATTGACAGACAATGAGTTTGACCTCGATAGCCTTGCCGAGGACGGCAGGAACTTATTGTACTTATCTTTTGGTTAAGTGGATGAAGAGAGACCAATAATAGCATCGGTAGGAAGATCAGCCCAGAGAAAAAGGGAGATCGTTCATTCTTCTTCTTCTTCATCATCATCATCCATTATTTTCTTCTTACTTTCATCATCAAGGGCAAAAGCCTTAACCTTACTGCACGCTCAATATTTATAATTCTGTGATAGCAAGAGATTAAGAAATATGGATGTCGCAGCTTCGGCGATGTTGGATGGTCTGAAGAACAATCGCATCAGCAAGTTGGCGCTCTCGCGTTTCCTATCTCAAAGCCTGTAAGTAAATAAACTGAAATTTAGTTTATGGCGTTTTTATTCATGTTCGACTTGATTTATCTCTTGATTGGTATATTATGTTTGACGCGCTGAAACTTGTCATGTTAAAGTCACGAGTCTAATCTTTATTTTATTATTATTTAATTAAAAGTACATTATTAAAAGGCTGGCTAGCAAAATACATAAGCGTAGTAAATTGTTTAGAAATTCTAAATAATTATCTACTGCTAAGCTGGCTATGGTTTTGTTAAATAGTTAATCTATAGGTACACATGAGTGAAACTATATAAGTAGTTATTGCTTATTCATTAAAATTTACTATGTACACGGAATTACATATAATTATTAATTAAATATAAAAAATAGTGAAAATATGGTGTCCTGTAAAAGTTGTATGCAAAAATACTTCTATATACATTGCTATATTTATTAAAGATAAATGATTTAGATTTTTAATTTGCCTATGTAATGCCCTCCTACAATAAATCATTTTTCGTTTAAAGTAAAAGGTAAACTTTTATTAAATTGTTTCAAATTTCTGTATAAGATATAATATCAGAGAAAAGTAGTTATTAAAAATATTTCCTATAATATATGGTATACAAAATTATCAAATTAAAAAAACATATAAAAAAACTATTATTTTTTAAAAATGTATCAAACATTTAACATTCAACTGATTTTTTTGGCGTGACATTTTTCCACTTAACAAAAATTACATTGACATTACTTTTTTTTTATATCAATATAGCTTAAAATTAATTTATTTTATTGATACGTATATGCATGTATATTTATATATATATATATATATATATATATATATATATATATGTATATATACACGTAGCTATTTGAAATACTTTTGTAATTACATAAATCTTTAATTACGAATTCAGGATTTCTAAAAAAGTTTGATTGATTCTGAAAGTATACAAGAAATTACAACCTTTCTGGCATTCTGTATTATAATAAATGAATTTATTTATTTATCTACTTTATAATAATTAGTTTTTAATTGAATTGAAAGCCTATGTGTTAGGAACTGGAAATGTGTTACATTAAAGCGTCTAATATTTGATATAGGAATTAAAATTTCTTTAATTTATTTATTTAGAATGGATATGCATTTGAATGGGAATGCTATAAATTAAAAGAAAAAAGAAACAGGAATATTAATTTATTATTAGTCATTTAAATAGCAAAAACATTAATTACATAGACAATGTTTATTATTTCATTAATATTATCTCATTATTCTACAATAGAAATGACTATTATTTTTATCATGAATATAAAACATTATTACTTCACTGCATTTAAAGATTGTTTTAATATATATAAGAAGTTCTAATGTCCAAATAATGACAAAAAAAAAAAAAAAAAAAACGCAAAATCAAATAAAAACAAACTCAATTTAACTTTATTTAATACAATCCTAATTTATTAAGAAAATATATTTAGTAGTATTATGTATGATGAAGAGGTCCTTGTCACACTCAATGGATCTCAATATAACCTTCCAATGTATGTCCAACGAGTGCAAGATGCACAAGCTGAAGAGATTGATAAGGGACGTTATGTAAGGACTAAGGTGACAGTAGCAAGGACTCTTCAGATATTACACGTCGGCAATGACGACTAATGCTTAAAATAAATTTCCTCCTAATATTGGAATCGTGAGATATTTACTTGATTTAATCAATTGCGTCATTATTTTCGGGACTTTAATTATATTCCGACTAAATTTTGAATTTTACGCGAAGAAGAGACGCAGCCCAACTGATGTAAAAGTCTGAATTATCATATTCTAGTTACATTTTATATTTAATAATCATATGCTAGTTTACATTTTAAAATAAGTTGATGCAATGTCTCAGATACAAACGTGTATTTATAATAGAAGAATATTAATTGAACATATTTAATATTATTTGCATTGCTAATTTAAACATTGATTATAAATATGCTCAGTTACAGTGACATACTCCAAATAATCTTTAATGTAATATATCATAAAGGTTGTGCGTGCTGCATGCTCCATCTATTTTGATATTGAAAAATAATTTAAAACGTATGTTTTTTGAAATGTTCATTAATAAAATGAAATTATAGTTATATAGATGTGTTTATTATTCCTCATTGTCGCTAGAAATTGAGATGATAAAAAGAATAATATATTTATTGGCAATGAAATTCTTGTTATCTACTATGAAGAGTCATACGAATATTCTGATAAAAGTTTATAAAATAATCTTTATTCGCAATAGATAGAACTTATTAGTTTTTAATGATCTTTATTTATAAATTTTATATGATCTATGGAAATCGCGTAAGCTTTTGAATACAATTACATTGAGAATTATTCTAGCTTTTGGTTATATGTCGTAGTGAATATCATAAATGTCTCGCGGGAAATTGATACCAAATGGCATGTGTAAACCTATAGCCTCATTTTACTAATATTTTTGACGTTGAATAATTCCCAATAGAATTATTTTATATCGTATATATATATATATATATTTGTGCAAGGCTTTGAGTAGATAAAAGTATTTAAATACGTTTATAAAGAAGGAGATTTTACAAGTATTTTTTGACCTGCGTATAAACAATATACATAACTGAGAAAATGTTTCAATTTAATTCAAATCATTATCTATTGATTTATTCAAAATTTATTAATGTCTAATTTAGAATAAAGTTATAACAAAATCATTATGAATATATAACGAATATTAATATTGGATAGAAGATTGGCCATACATTGTATAGTCAGACTCAAAGAAATATTGTTTAGTAAACTCAACGAAATTTTTTTACTGTATATATTTAAAAAATATTTATTTAATTTAATGGTAAATTAAGAATTTCCTATATAAAATAAGTTGTAGCTTTCAAATGAGCGACAAATTAATTAGCTTCAATTTTAGTTAAAAATTATAACTTCAAAAAGGTATTTTTATTTAATATAATAAATGAATTATTTCCACTTAGTATAAACATTCATTAATTACACATTTTATTATAAAATTTTAACGAATCATTAATTTTCAGTATAATTGTCAATCTTTCGTCTGTAAAGTTACTAAACTATTATATATATATTTTTTGTTTTAATTTGAGCTAATATATAAATTCAATCCCCTTAAAATAAATAATAAATTTCAATACTCAAATTTATAAAAGCGTACAATTTAATTATTGTTATTTTACGTATAAGTTATATTAAAAATGATAAAATTCAGAGTATTGAATATCAATCAATATCTATTTCTATTTAAATTAAGTATTATTAATTATGTTTTATTTTTCTTAAATTGATTTTGATTTTATCATTACAATAATCCATTTAGATTAAAACGTTGTTTTCATATATAAAAATTTCATATATATTTTAATAGCTTAAATATCTATATTTAACGTCCAAGTATCATTAAATATGTGGTATAGCTAATATATTATGCTGAGAGTAAAATAAAAAAATAATTTCTGACTTTTGATTTTGTAAAGAATTTATCATTTTATCGATTATATTTGCCTGTAAAAACCAATTTACATATTAATTTTGTTAATTTTCTATATTAGTTTGTTTAATAGCAGCGTATATCTTTCATTAAAATAATATAATATATATATATATATTGTTTCTATACTCATTTATAATATTATAGTATTAAAAATTTTGTATTTTTAATTATAATTGCGCTATTTTACTCTACTAAATTTAAAATCGTCCCTATAATAAAATACTTCAGCTTTCTTATTTATAATATTGTTTTCCATTTCCTAGTATAAATCCAATGATATATTTTAAAAGGAAATTTAATTAAAGAATTAACAGTGCTTGGTATTTCATTATATAAGGATTTCAAATAATTTGAATAAATAACTTTTATTTTACATCATGACTAACATTAATATGTATTTTTATTAATTTATTATTTTGCTTTTATCTTTCTATTTGATATAACTGAATTATTAATAGTAATATTTCACCAATTTATCTTTCTTGTCAATGATAGATGGGTTGTAAAAATTTAATTTTTTTCAAATACTATATTTTAAAATCGAGTATAATAGTGTGACTCTTTTTGAAAAAAAACTGAATATGTTACAATCTAACACAACGATAAATTTATATTATTTTATTTTGTAACTGTTAAATTTATTTATCATTAGCATTCTTTTTTTTTCTTTTTTACATTTTTCTTGTTACTTCAGTTATTTATTATTATGTTTTTATTCCAAGATATATTATTTTTCATTAAAAAATAGTACCAGATAGTCCTGTCCCTGTAGGGTCGTATTTTTTTTATGTCTCAATCAATTTATTAGCATTATTATATATAAGTTACGAATGTTTATATTAACTAAATTAATTAATGTAAGGGCTAAGTTTTTTTTATATTTTTTACATCTTGATGTTTGATTATTTATATCTGCAAGTATATTATTTATGGTATGCATATACAAATTCAATGCAATTGAGTTAAATTAATTGTTGATGTTATTATTGCATTGACTAATTTTTATTTTATTTAATTTAAATGTTTAAATAAATATTATACTATTGTTCTATTATATATTATTTACTAAATCTATAAAGAATTTTTTAACTCATATTATACTATGATTATTGGTTAAATTGTAACGTACCTCTTTATATCTATTAATAATCGTTATAACAATGATTCTATCACTCGTATTTCTAATTATTTTTCAAGCATTATTATTTAAAGACTATTTCTTGTCTTATACAATATTAAATTACCACATTATAATGAAATTAATTTTTCAATGAAATTTTTATTGAACCAAGTATAAAAATCAATAGATAATTATCATAATTTGATTCATTCTACAAAAATCAATGTTATAAAATGTAGAAATACGTTTTATTAAAGTTTTTTATACTTCTTATTCTATAACCTTACAATTAACTAAGTATTGAACATATTTTCATGTCGTTTCGTTATAATGAAAAAAATAAATTGTGC